AATACTGATATTGATACTGATACTAATAATGATACTCATATAAATACTTGTATTGGTACGCATACTGATACTACTACTGATACACATATTGATACTAAAACTCACACTAATACTTATATTACTATTGATACTCACATTGATACTCGTATTGATACTACTTTTGATACTCTTACTCACATTAATGATGATACTTATACTGATATGATATTAATACATATACTAATCTTGATATTAAAGCTAATATTACCGATATTTATACAAATACTCATATTCATACAAACACATACTAATATTGATACTAATACTTGTACTAATAATGATATTAATATTGATACTTATACTAATACTAATAATGATAATCATATTGACACTCATACTAATACACCTATTGATAATGATACTGATACTAATATTGGTATTGATATTGATACTAATATTTATATCAATATTGATATTAATCTTGATAGTAATATTGTTACTAATATTGACATTGATATTAATATTGATATTGATCTGATACAATACTAATATTAACACTAATACTGATACTAATGCTGATATTAATATTGATACTGATACCGACACTTATACTGATGCTAATACTAATACTCATATTGATACTCATACATATACTCTATTGATACTCATACTGATATTTGTATTGACACTAACGTTGATACTAATACTTTACAAACACTAACACTAATATTGATATTAATATTGTTACTCATATTGATAGTCATACTGATATTGATACTGATAACCGTATTGATATTGATACTGATAAGTACACTGATACTAACAATAATACTGATATTAATACTCATATTGATAATACCTATACTCATGCCAATGCATTATATATTCACATCGAAACTCATAATGATATTGAGACTGATATTGATACTGATACTAACACTGATACCGATGTTCATACTGAGACTCATATTGATTCTCATATTGGTACTGATATTGATATTCATACGGACAGTGATACTGATACTAATACTCTTATTGATATCTTATGTATAAAAGAAAGAAACGCTGGGCAACCCTAAAAAACCCTAATGGTATTTTTGTAATTAAAATATTTTTAATATTTTGTTTCTCTACTAATTTCCAACTATAATTTTTAACATTATAAAAATTGAAACTAAATCCTGAAGAATCCTATCTAATGGTACTTTTGTTATTATTTATTTTTAATATTTTTTGTCTACCAATTTTGTAACTATAATTTTCAACAATTATCAATCTCTTATTTTTCATTAATATATCTCAAATATTAAGAGATAAAGATAGAAATTTGATCTTATATATAAAATAAAGAAACGCCGGGCAACCGTAAAAAACCCTAATGATATTTCTGTAATTAAATATTTTTAATATTTTTTTCTCTACTAACTTGTAACTATAATTTTTAACAATTATCAAAATTGAAACTAAATCCTGAAGAATCCTATCTAATGGTACTTTTGTAATTATTTATTTTTAATATTTTTTGTATACTAATTTTTTAACTATAATTTTCAACAATTATTAATTTCCTATTTTTCATCAATATATTTCAAATCTTAAGAGATAAAGATAAAAATTCGATTCGTTAAATCTTAATCTATATATTGGATTATAAATCTTAATATGTCAGGTTTAAAAAAACTAATGTTATATAAAATATGAATAATACTACATTATTAAATTTTACTATGTTAGTATATACTATATTTTCTTATTATGTATTAAATTGATTGTTTTTTTCACTTTTGAAATAATATCCCCTTTTTTCACTTTTGAAAAAATATCCCGTGCATCGCACGGGGAAAAAATGCTAGTTGAATTTAATAATAATATAAATATTTGAGCTGAAGCAAAAATTCCCATTGTCAATTTTCAATTAAGATTTTAGTTAAATTATTGTTTCAACTAAATGAACATTATCTAGCAAGTGCAAAATGATAATTCAAAATATCATGTAATATCAAATCTATAACTAACCTTACATGTTAAATTAAATTGGGTAAATTACAAACACCCCCCTGAGGTATGGTCAAATTACAAAAACCCCCCTCTTGTTTGGATAATTACATCTACCCTCCTCAACTATGATTTTTTCTTACACCTCCACCCTTATGGTGCCAAATTCAACATACTCATTTAGATTCCGTGAAATGTGCTCTAGTTTGTACTCGTTTTGTGTAAAAATACAGTTTCCGATGCACTACAAACTGATATATACAAGTTAAAAATCACATATTATGATCATCTTGCTTCATAATGTAGAGTTTGAATGGGATAAAACGGGTACAAAAGTGATAATATTCCATATAATTTCGAAGATTCCACTAAATTTGAGGAGTTGAGGGGGTGGTTGTAATTATTCAAACAAGAGGGGTGTTTTTGTAATTTGATCATACCTCAGGGGGGTGTTTGTAATTTACCCAATTAAATTATATATATTATGTAATATTTATAAATATACGATAATAAAATATATTCATCAATGGAGGGGGTAAGTGTTACATTTGCAACTTTAGGGATGTAAGTGTTACCAACCATATACGTTAAGGGTGCAAACTGTATTTTATCCCTTTAAATAATATAAATGCAAATAAACATTGTGAATCGTCTAAATAATATTAAAATCATTTTAGTGGTTAATAGACACAATTCGATAAAAAACATTTTTTATAAATAATCGATAGAGAAAAAAATAGTGGTTAATATGTCAATTTTTTACGTGATAAAAAACTTAAATTCGGATATGTGGAAATCAAAATTTGTATATAGCCCTACTTTGATTAGCATGAACAACAATTTAAAGGCAATACTTGCATTTTTTAAAATATTAATCATAATTGTGTCATATTGTGTGTGATGTACGCTTTACAATATAAAATTACATAAATTATGGAATATTATTTAGCTTTCATGAAAATAAATCATTACAAATTCATTTATAAAATATAAAGTTAATTTGGTTTTCAATCATTAATAGAATAATATTAAAGAAATTTGACACAGTATCAACAGTAAATTATTTTAATGTAGAATTCATAAAGGTGGAGGGGCTTTGTTCTTTCCACTTTCAAAAGAAGGTTATGAATGTACTAACTGGTTTCGGGTTTGAAAATTGGAGCAGAGAGAAAGATGGTTGGAATACTCGAATCATTATCGAATAAATTTGTAACACTCCACAACTTAAGAGCAGAATCAAATCGGATCACTACCATTAATTTAGGGATGCTAACCTTTTTATATGTACTTAAACATTATGGTTTTAATACGAAAAAAAGTAGTATGCTTTGAAAAGAAATCAAACTTTGTACTTTCTCGAAATATATATATAGCGGCTAACAAAATGAAATCAGAGTTTCTAGCTCGGCTACAAAAAATGGCTCGAAACATGGCATATGGACAAATCTCTGTATGGCCGCTCTTGGCTAGGTCAACTTCTAAATATGTACATCATTACCTGTATCATAAGAACTAATGAGCTAATGGCTCAGCAAATTGAAACTGATGTAATAGTAATATATCACATAACACGTTATTCATCAATAATGTATGTACAATAAGATATATAACTTCATTCGTGATCCTTTTCTTTGAAATCCTTCTCTTTTTCGGATACTCTTGAAGTGTGGTACTTGACTGATAGCAAATAGATTGTGGTTTCCGGAACATGTTCATCATATTTGGCCAATATATAATACGGGGTTTCCATATCGGCCTTTCGACCTTAGGTATTAGCCGTCTTTCATTTCTTTAATTGTGGGTTTTCCAACTGGTCTTTCGACCTTAGGTATTTGCCACCATGTGTTGGGTCCGCCGGTTCCTCCCACGTCCCTTGCCCACCCGACCATCAATCAAGTACTATACTCCCATTTTCAAAACATATTCTTCATATCACTATGACCATCAATCATTCAAACATCATGGACAACACGTAGCAAAAGTCACATTAAAGCACACATAATATAGTTCTTATGATGAGCAAATGAAAGCTTCAACTTACCTCAAGTTCAATGTGGTGTATGAAGTGAAAAGATCAGTCTTAGATAGGTTGTGCTAGAACCCTGGATTAGAGATGGATTCAAACTTCAAAACTTAGGATTTTCAGCTAGAAAATGTGAAGAATTTGTTCTAGCTATACTTCTATGAGTTCTTATGGTTTGATGTTCTCTTGTGTGAATATGGAAGTGAATAAATAAGAAGAGAAGCTTAAGTGAATTAGTCTGGTCGTTTTTGGAAGAAGACAAGTGAAAATGAAGACTAAAACAAAGTCTTCACTTATCTACCCATTCCCAACAAGGCCGAATGGAGGGTGATTATTGAAAGACTTGTATTTGCTGCATTCGTGTAGTTCCTCCACGTTTTCATAGCTTAAGATGATATAGGGGCTGATGTTTACTCATTATAATCAAATGTAAACAATTTGAGAATGGTCTTGTGCAACCTAGTCAACCAACCAATCAAATTGCACCATTTTGCATACTTTTGATTTTAGTCTTGCATGAGTTACTTCAAGTAATTATGTATCGAACTAACCATATTAAAATGTAATTACAATGCAGAAATGCAATTAGGACGAATATATGACCGTTTAACACATTTTAAGAAAAGTATTCGATCACGTATTAAAACACAATTAAGACACATGTGTAGCAACTACTCATGATCATGCATCATAAATAATGACTTCTAACTATATGCATTGAAGCAATATGCTTATTATTGGCCATGTATGAGATCATTGATCATTCAACTTATGAATGAAACAAAGCTCGATATTTTTTAACTGAATCGGTAAGCAATAACTTGCTAGATTCAGATAATCAGATACCTAATCGAATGAGAGATATGCTTCGTTGTAAAAACCATTGGGGGCTATCAAACACGGCCAAAATGCCGGTAAAACATTGAGAGAAAACATTCAATTTTAATATAGCTACGCTCCCAATTGAATTCTGATTTGAACCGAAGCAAATGGAACTGAAAAGTAAAACCAACGAAAATCAAATTCAGCGAAATCTTCGAATACAATTTTTTTTTTCTCAAGAAAATCATGATCAAATTGGTCAACTAAACCAAATTTCAGTAGAACCGCGATAAAGTCTTTCAATACCGTTCGATTCTTGCGCTATATATCGTCCGTGTACAAACGGTCAACTAAAGCTGGCACTTGTTTAAAACATTCAAAGAACCATAATATATACAATATTGATAAGTTTTCATAAGCTAACAACAAAGATGAATTTAATCGACAAACGTTCATAACCTGCTTCCTATGGTAAAAAAATATAAAGACGGGATCACCTTCTTCCGAGCAAGGAATCTAGAAGAGCATCTTCTTCTTCCTGTTAAATACGAAAAAACGGATTTGAGCAAAATGAGTCAACTAATAAGGTCAATTCAGTCAATGGAAGCGGTCATATATACATACCACTAACGCGTTGAATTCGGTCTCCTCGTCTATGGCGCTTATTATAGAGGGATCTTCCAAGAGTTCCTGTTTTTAAGCATGGGTAAGATAAAATCGAGACATTTTAAATTAATATAATTAAATCAAAATTAATAAACCAATGATGACAACTGCATGTATACAAAACGAAGGTGCTTACATCATCTGCTATTTGTAGTACGCCGTTTTTATCCTGCAACGAGAGAGCGTAAATTACTTTTCACATGGAAGAATTTCCGATGCAAAAAATCTAATACTCGAGAAAGGAAATTGAAAAAATATATATAAAAAAATAAAAAATTATTCTTTACCTTCACAGCAACAAACAGAAGAGGGTCCGAAGGCGTATAAATCATGTAATGTGAAGAATCCTACATGAAGAAGATATATTAATATGTTGCGGTTTATAAATACTATAGAGAACAATATTTTGTATCTATATGATAGCGTATAATTAATGCTGTACCAGATGGAAGCATGCAATTTCAATGCCTTCCGTTGGCAATCCATCTACATTTTCACCATTATCTGCATAAAATAGATTTCTTATTAACAAGTTAAATTTTTTGTAATAACGAACGAGGGTTTGACCGTAAGATTTCGCAGTAGATATTTGACTGGTGCCAAATCTCGTCGTAGAAATTTAAAAGCACATAAATAAAGTACTCTAGGGGAACGATTTGTATGAAATTTATAAACGTATAAACTCATAAAAATCGCAGCTAATTCATACTTTTATTTATGTTGCGACCAAGTCGTAAAATCAGAAAAATTAACAGTCAGCATCACAAAGTTTTTACCTATGTTGAACTCGAATATATCTTCCTCGGTGTAGCAAAAACCGCCTCGTGCGGTATAACAAAATCTGAAATCGAAAAAACAGTATGTCAGGAATCTGTGATACAAGTGACAAAAAAGGCAAAGATAAATTATATCTGAAAATTAACTTATGCTATGTAATATAATAATATTATATCGTACCCACTGTATACAAGATGCATGTGTATTTTGGCAAGGGCATAAGCTGCAGCGGGGAGTATACCCTCGACTTCTTCATCACTAACCTACAGAGCAGAGAAGAGGGACGAAAGGGGAATTTATTCGGTAATCAGTAAAATGAATTACGAATAATTTTTATTTATTTTTGATAAAAAATTGGAATCTTGAAGAGGTAAGAGTAAATACTTACAGCAGCCCATCCTTCAACGTTGACGCTCTTCAAAATCTGAACGGGACTGCAAACGATTGAATTAATTGGATTTTTTGTTTATCAGGATTAAAAATATATATATGTGAAAAAAAAACTTTGGAAATGTAACTTACGTATCGACTGGGCAGAGTAGCATGCAATCGTCTCCACGTGAATTTTTAAATACTCTTCTTATAACGCATTCCAGGGGGAAGTTATTAGTTGCATCAACCTGTAAGAAATATATTATAAAGAAATATATTGACACACGTGATTTGTGTGTGAAAGAGTGAACTGATAAATGAGACGGATATTGCAAATGTAATCAAACAATACATCTTGATTCAAGTCAAGAGTTCAGAATAATTCTCTAAGGCCTCGTTTGGTTGCCAAGATAGGATTAACCAAGATTAGATTAATTAATCTAATGAAACCCAATTTTATTATTGGATCATGGAAGGTTAAACAAAAAAGCTCCCGAAAAGGCAAGATTAGCCATGAAAACATAATATTTCCAGGTCGTCCGGGAAGCTATTGAGAATACCAAACACCATACACAGTCCAATTATTCATGGTCAACCAAACATGGCCTAATGAAACAACACACACACCCAAAAAAAAAAAAAAAAAAAAAAAAAAAAAAGGGCAAATTGCACATGTTTATACACTCAAATACATGACATAAAACCCAGAAAAGGGAACGAAATACTAAAGCCTTGTTTGGTAGCCAAGATAAGATTAGCCAAGATAGAAATTAAATAAGCTAACGAAACCCCATTGTATCATTGAACCTTGGAAGGTCCAATAAAAAAACATACCTAGAAGGCATGATAACATAATATTTGCGGGTCGACTCGACAAGTTATTGGTGATACCAAACATCACACAAAGTCCAATTATTTAGTAATAATGGCTAATCTCCCCAACCAAACCAGGCCTAAGGAAACAACTTCTACATTCTCAGGAAATTAAGAGAAAAGGAGTAAACTATATAGAAGCTACGCTAATATGAAGGCATTTACTGGTATTACTTTTGTTCCGAACAAAAAGGAGGAACTAGTTACGCGAACAACCTATCCCGAAAGTTTCCTAAAATGTAAGTAGTCAATAACGAATGCGTAATATGTTTCATTAATCTTTGGTCAAACGTGTAGATTTTAAACACAACCAAAGCAAAAATGCCCTGGCCTCGAAGACTGCAATATTTTCCGGATGCAACACTACATACGGCGAACGTTGATTAGGGTTAAGAAATCCTCGTATAATCAAAAACCCCCAAATTTCATCAATTCTTACCTCTCACACATAAAATTCTACCTATTTCAGCTTCAATGTGTTTCCCAAGCACAAAAACTTACAATGGATAACCATAATCATAAGAACGATTGTTCTAACACACGCGTATCGAACAAATAAATGAATTAATTTTATGCATTGTCAATTCAAAAATAAAACAACAATAATTGAAAAAAAATAAAATAAGATGAGGTAAAAAGAAAAAAAACTGACGATAGTGGCAATGCGTTTGTTAGAAGCCATAAGAACTTTTCCTTGCCCATCCAACACAAACCCCGCCGGTGGCTTCGGCAGAGGAAGCGCCGCGTACGGTGAATGCCCCGACTGTGACGGTGACGGTGACGGTGACTCTAGCAACTCCACTCCGCCACCACCACCCTTTTCAATCTTATAATCGTCTTCGGGAAAACTGCTGCCGTTGCTCTTGCTAGTGGGCTTCTTTTTCTTCTTCGTCGCCGGCGGCGCGCCGCCGCCGGATTTCTGCTGCTTGGCCGCGGCGGAGCAACATAAAAAACCGTATCTACAACCGAAGCTTGTGCTTCTTCTCTTACTGGGTTGAGGAAAACTGAGAAAGGGCTGCTGAATATTGGGCGAATTTCGAGAATTGTTTGGTGAAATTGTTGCGAAGGTGGAAAATCCGGATGTAGAGAATAATGCCATTTTTCGGAGTGTGTTATGAGAGCTGAGGGAGTGTTGGACTGTGGACAATGGAGATATTCTTATTTCTCTAATCGGTGATTTTCAGATTTTCTTTTCGTCTCTTTCTTTTCATTTTTCACTTTCAAGTCCTTCAATTTTAACTATATTTCATAATTTACTCTTATTGTTTCTAGGTGGTGTTTGCAAATGATTATTTAAAAGCAGAAGTTAGTGATTGTGAGTTAAGTCAGTTTTAAGTGCTTATTTCTAAAAGTTGGCGGTGTTTGCAAAAATTCTGGAAAATGAACTTAAATAGAAAAAACAGGGGTTAAGGGTGCTTTTAGAAAAATAGCTTAATGCAGATTATTTTAAGATAAGCAAAAGTTGATTTTGCAAACACTTGAAAATAGAATATGAACAAAAAAAAAGCTCATAATCACTTTCAAAAAGCGTTTGCAAACACCACCTTAGTATTTACTTATTTAGTTTAACTTTCATTTTCAAGTCCTTGAATTTTAACTAAATTTCATAATTTACCCCTTATTTTTTAATATTTAGTTTATACAAAAATGTTATATATGATAGGTTATCATTTCATTTGGAGTAATACCAATAAATTAGTTAAGATGTTTTGTGATCCGGAAAGAAATGAGGCCCAAGAAGCAGGGTCTCACTCTGTTCATCCTGGAAAAAGTCCCATAAACTTTTTTAGAGTTTAAGACCCCTGAAGTAAAGCCCAAGCCGCTTAGACCCAATCCAAACTCCCTTGCCCCAGATGAGACGGACGAGAGAGTTAGCCCCCGAGGAGTCCGGAGAAGGAGGCGCAAGGGTTCCACTAGAGAGGCTAAAAGGCTATGACAATCATTTTTTACGCCCCCGTCGGCGCATTAAATACTCTGACACCAGTATTTAATGCCTGAATGACTAGAGACCGCGGGAAAATATGGGGACGTGCGGATCAGACTATTCCTGGTAATCCCGAGAGAGTGGCTGTAGCTGTCCCGAGGATAATGATGATACGGGTACCCGAAAAAGGTATGAGAACGGCGGGTTACATCTACCCACGCCGGGATTCATTGCATGGCATAGGCCAAGGTATTATGAATACAGATTCACACATACAAACACACAGGTTGTGTCTATCTCTTCTAAAATTACTATAACACTCCACCTTCAAAACCATATTTGATTCGCTGACTTGGCCGTCGAAGTACTAACTCCGGTTCCTTTTTTTTTTTTTGCAGAGCAAACATGTTAGGTTGCTCGGCAAGTCTATCCCTCATACATAAGTACGCGAGCGGACGCGGGGGTTTTAGGGCGGATCATTTTGTTATTTTTGACACAAAATAGAGGAAATATGAAGGAGCTAATTTTCGCTACCTATGAAAAAATTGAAAACCAACATTTATAATTTACATAAGGTGACAATTCTAAATTTTCTTATTGGAGGATTTTTTTTGATATAGTTAGCTAAAATTTTAAATTTCTAAATAACAAATAGCAAAATTTATAGGTAAAAATGGGTCGGTTTTCAGGTAAGACTAGAGGTGGAAACCGGACAGAAGGGATCGGAAATGGCTTTTTCAAAAAAAATCTATTTTTTTTTATAATATAAGTATATAACATTAGTTGTATTATGGATTTACAATATATATCATAAAATTATATTATATATGTTTTCGAAAAACCACAGAAATATTCTGAATTAAAGTCGGATCGAAAATCGAAATTTCCAATAATTTTATACACCATTTCAATTCCGTTCCAAATAAATTCAGAAAAATCGGAAATCAAAACTTCAAAGCTGGAATGAAAAATAGGATTCCAAATTCGGATATTTTCAAGATGGAATTCGCAAAATTTGAAATTTTCATTCCTATTCCCACCACTACTGAATCACAATCCTAAAGAATTGGATGTCAATATTTGTGCGATAGCTCATTTAAATTTGAAGTACTGAATCATGCTAATCATGTAATTTATGAAAACTTGGACACTCTAATTGAAGTTGGAGTGAGATCGAGGGGTCAAAGTGCAAATAACGAAAACATCCATTCCTGGTCTCAGTCTCCCGTCTCATTTCTTACTTTCTCACACTAAACTTCCATTAAAACTACAGAAAATTCTTCCCCCCAATTATATGATTTCTCTCCACTGTGGCGATGACCACTGATTGAATTTTAGGGCATAAATTGAAACGCGAAGCCATGGGTAAACCTCTCTCCACTCTCGTGTTCCTTCTCCTCTTCATCAATTGTGTTTATTCCTGGAAAAAGGACGAGTTCAGAAACTGCAATCAGACCCCGTTCTGCAAGCGCGCCCGCTCCCGTAAACCGGGATCCTGCTCCTTAATCGCCGCCGATGTATCCATCTCCGACGGCGATCTCGTCGCGAAACTCATCCCCAAGGAGAGCAGTCAAGAGAACCCCGCAAAGCCTCTGGTTCTCACAATATCGGCCTATCAAGACGGCGTGATGCGGCTCAAAATCGACGAGGACCAAACCCTAGCCCCACCGCGCAAGAAGAGATTCGAGGTGCCCGATGTGATTGTACCCGAGTTTTTAAACAAGAAGCTATGGCTGCAGAGGCTGAAAGAGGAGAGGATTGAGGGCGGTTTGGTAATTTCATCCGTTGTGTATCTCTCCGAAGGGTACGAGGGTGTGATCAGGCACGATCCTTTCGAGGTTTTCGTGAGGGAGAGCGGCGAAAACGGGAAAAAGGTGCTGTCTTTGAACTCGAACGGCTTGTTCGATTTCGAACAGCTGAAGGAAAATAAAGAGGACAACGAGGATTGGGAGGAGAAATTCAGGACGCACACCGATAAAAGACCATACGGGCCACAGAGCATTAGCTTCGATGTGTCGTTTTACGATGCCGATTTCGTGTACGGAATCCGGAACACGCCACCAGCTTAGCCCTAAAGCCGACCAAAGGTCCTGGAGTTGATGACTCGGAGCCCTACAGGCTTTTCAATCTCGACGTTTTTGAATACGCTCACGATTCGCCTTTCGGGCTTTACGGAAGCGTTCCGTTCATGACATCGCACGGTAAATCGAGAGGGAGTTCCGGGTTTTTCTGGCTGAACGCAGCCGAAATGCAAATTGACGTCTTTAGCCCTGGCTGGAACAATGAGTACTCGTCTGTATTAATGCTGCCTACCGATCAGAAAAGAGTCGATACGTTGTGGATGAGCGAGGCTGGTGTTGTGGATGCGTTCTTTTTTATAGGTCCGAAACCGAAAGATGTAGTTAGACAATATACGAGCGTGACGGGCACTTCAGCCTTGCCTCAGTCGTTTGCAATTGCCTACCATCAATGTAGATGGAACTATAGAGACGAGGAGGATGTATATAACGTGGACGCCAAATTCGACGAGCACGATATCCCGTACGATGTTTTATGGCTCGATATTGAACATACCGATGGGAAGAGGTATTTCACGTGGGACAAGATGTTGTTCCCTAATCCGGAAGAGATGCAGAATAAGCTGGCTGCAAAAGGGAGGCGTATGGTAACTATTGTGGACCCTCATATTAAGAGGGACGAGTCGTATTATATACACAAGGAGGCTTCGGAGAAGGGGTATTATGTGAAGGACTCGAGTGGGAAGGATTTCGATGGGTGGTGCTGGTCTGGGTCGTCTTCGTATATTGATATGGTGAATCCGGAGATTAGGTCTTGGTGGGCGGAGAAATTCTCGTACGAGAATTATGTTGGTTCGACTCCATCTTTGTATATATGGAATGACATGAACGAACCTTCTGTCTTCAATGGTCCGGAGGTAAACTTTTTATTTCGATGTTTGCAAAATTACTTTTTCTGCTTGGTTTATTAGTTGGAAGGATATGGAGATATTAAATAGCTTAAATGCATTTGCTCTCGTTAAATTGAATTTTGTGGTATTTTATAGAATCTTGAATGCTGGTTTTTCTTGTATATAATACTCTTCGTCTCCGTTTGGATAGAAGGATTTGGAGGGATTTCAAATACATAATAACAAATCCCATGTACTTAAAATGAGAGCCAATGATTTGAGATTCATAATCAAATGACTCGATCCAAACAAGTACAATGGATATCGAATCCCTCCCTCTAATCCTTCCATCCATATGCAACCTTTTTATTACTCCTTATATTCAGTTATGTAGCAGTTATTGTTAAAGAAACGAGTTCTCCTTCCCATAGTTGTGTCGAAAAGTTTGTATCTTCCCCCCTAAATTTGTGGTTTGGACAATTCTGATTCTCTCCAATGAAACAAAAACCTCGGATTTCTTTAATCAGGTTTCGATGCCGAGGGATGCTTTACACCATGGAGATGTCGAGCACAGAGAGTTGCATAACGCGTACGGCTACTACTTCCACATGGCTACAGCAGAGGGACTCGTTAAGCGAAATGACGGAAAAGACAGACCTTTCGTTTTATCGAGAGCTTTTTTTCCGGGTAGTCAAAGATACGGAGCTGTTTGGACGGGTGACAACTCAGCTGACTGGGACCACTTGCGAGTTTCAGTTCCGATGACCTTAACACTTGGTCTTACTGGAATATCATTCTCCGGTTCGTAAAAAATAAAAAATAAAAACTGTTACTTTTAAAAAATCGTATTAGGTATTATGTTTTCTTTTAATTCAAGGAATGTATTTAATTCGCAGGTGCTGATATTGGTGGGTTTTTCGGTAATCCCGATACTGAGTTGTTGGTTCGGTGGTACCAGCTCGGTGCCTATTATCCCTTCTTTAGAGGACATGCGCATCACGACACTAAGCGACGCGAACCTTGGTTATTTGGGTACGATTTCCTCTTCTTTCTTTCTTTTTTGTTGCGTGCGTGGTTTTAGTTAACGTTTGGTATTATTTATATGGTAAATTACACCTAGACTCCCTCAGGTTTGGGAAATTACATATACCTCCTGGTTCCAGTCAACAATTCACCCCTATATGGCCATGGACTAACCGAAAAGTGATTATGTCAATGAAAAAAAATTGATTGTAATTCCTTTTTTACCTTTACCCAAATATTTATAAATTTTTATTGTAATTGTTACCCTTTCAGATTTTATTTCAATCGAAAGTAAGGTTTTTATGTACTTTTTACTCGAAAAATACAACCTCAAACCAACCAAAATTGAAATGCAATTGTTTGTGTGAACGAAATGACAATTCTCAAAAGAATATGCTGTATTTTGAGTTGGGTTTGTAGACGGAACCGAAATTAAAGGACGTGAATGTAATTTTCCAATCCTGAGAAGGTTTAGGTGTAATTTGACCTTACTTCTCATAAATAACTGGCTATCTAGATTGAACCGTTTTTTTCCCCCTTTCGTATACTTGTTTTATCCTGCTCTGATATAAATCTTATGTTCGTAGTCTTGTAGATTAAAATGTTTGAAGCTAAAAAACATGCATGTTCACAGGGAACGAAATACGGAACTCATGAGAGAAGCCATACACATACGCTATATGCTTCTCCCTTATTTTTACACATTATTCAGAGAGGCAAACGCCACCGGAATCCCTGTCATTCGTCCTCTTTGGATGGAATTTCCTTCCGACGAAAAAACATTCAGCAACGACGAGGCTTTTATGGTTGGAAACGGTCTTTTAGTACAAGGAATATACACTCAGGTGCTATATATATATATATATATATATATATATATATATATATATATATATATATATATATATATATATATATATATATATATATAATGTATAAAGAATTTGCCACTTTTTTTTCATCTCCATTTTTAATTTTTTATTTTTGAAACTCCACTAAACAATTAAAGTACAAAAAAAAAATCTTTGACAGCGAGCGAAACACGTGTCGGTGTATCTTCCGGGGGATGAGTCTTGGTACGATATGAAAAGCGGGAGTGCTTACAAAGGAAGGGCAATTCATAAGTTGGAAGCTTTGGAAGACAGCATCCCGTCTTTCCAAAGAGCTGGTACTATCATACCGAGGAAAGATCGATTTAGGCGAAGCTCCACACAAATGGAATACGACCCTTACACTCTGGTATGTCTTCTAATTCTAAATTGCCCCATGAATTAAGTGGTTCTCAAAATACTGGTGTAAATGAGCTGGCTCGAGCCCATTTGTAGTTGTTCACGCGCTTATAAGCCACCTCGCGAGCTTTTTATTTATTTATTTTTACTTTATATATATATGATGATATAAAATAGGGCAAATTACAGCCCCCCTAGTTATGGTCAAATTACGAAAACCCCCCTCATGTTTGGGTAATTACAGCCATCCCTCAACTATGTATTATCTTACAAAAATACCCCTCCAGAGGTGAATTTAGCGATGTTAAATAGTAAAGCCGAACCGAAATTTCGGTAGGCGAACATTTCATACCGTTTACCGAACTGAATATACGATTTGGTTCGGTAAATAACCAAAGCACATACATTTTATGTAAAAATATTTAAAAGGAGGGGTGGTGGCTGTAATTATCCAAACAAGAGGGGGTTTTTCATAATTTGTCCATACCTCAGGGGTGACCGTAATTTGTCCTATAAAATATAATAAATGCGTATAAAAAATAATTTTTTTCATCTTTTGTCTTGTAATTTTTAACTATAATATAAATAAGGGCAAATTATGGCCACTCCCCTGGAGTAAAGTCAAATTACGAAAAAATCCTCTTGTTTGGGTGATTACAACCACCTCCCTCTCAACTATGTACTGTCTTACGAAAAAACTCCTCTTTCAGTAGGTACATTTGACACTGTAATAATGGACGTGTAAGAAAATACATAGTTGAGGGTGGTTGTAATTTTCCAAACAGGAGGGTTTTTTTCGTAATTTAACCTTAACTTGGGGGCTGGCCGTAATTTGCCCTAAGAAATAAATTATAATAATAACAAATTAAATAATATGAGCTTAAACATATAATTAAAAAAAAAATAACACAAAATGACCTTGAGCTCAGACAATAGAAGTTCATTGAGCTCGAGCTCCCCAAAATTGTCAGGCTCGGCTCGAGCTCTCCAAAATTGCCAGGCTCGGCTCATTTACACCCGTGTTCCGACATGCACTGAAATGCAGGATGCAGTTTCTCTCTCTCTCTCACACACATACACACATTGTGTGAAAGTAAACACCAAATTTAATTTTCATTGTTCACTTGTTTGTCCATGTGCTTGAGCCAATCAAGAAACGGAACTAGTTAGGTGACAGCAATTGTCTGTCGGTCCAAATAATTCCGTTTACGAGAACGAAATTCACAAGAACGCAATAAAGATTTAATCACATTTCATTAATTCCAATTTCATGCGCCCCCTCGCAGGTAATAGCTCTCAACAGTTCCAAGTCAGCTGAAGGCGAGCTTTATGTGGACGACGGAAAGACCTTCGAATTCCAGCAAGGCTCCTACATACACCGCCGATTCACATTTTCAAACGGGAGGCTCACGTCTTCGAACGCGGGGCCCGCGACAGCTGGCGACCACAAATATGTGTCAGAGTGCACTGTGGAGAGAATCATACTTTTAGGCCTGTCCACTCAACCAAAAACCGCCCTCATCGAACCAGAAAATCGCAAGGTGGATATCACGTGGGGCCCGCTCCTGCTTCGTGGAGGGCCCGGCCCGTCTGTCCTCACCATCCGCAAGCCCAACGTTCGAATTGCAGATGATTGGACAATTCAAATTTTGTAAGAACATCTTAATTATTGCATTATTAGATTTTTGAAGAGCCACTTTCATAGTAGAGCTGTGACAGTAGAAGAAGAATAATCTAGTAGATGTGTAACGGTTTCTGTATTCGGAATCCTACGTGGCGATTCTTGATTGGGCAAAATATATTAGTCAGTGTGGTGCTGGATTGCTATTCTGTGTGCTGAAAGCTATTGTTCATACAACCTTGACAGGTCAAAGATTCATGAAAATAATGTTTTTTTTTTTTTTTTAAAAAAAGAAAAAAAAAAAAAAAAGAATGGTTCAAAACAACTCATTCCACTGAAAGAATGTATAGTATCTGGTTCTGAGGGAAAATGATAGCTTATTGAGCCAACTATTTTAGTGGCTCTTATAATCATTTTTCTTTTTAAATAAAATTAAATGGTGGATCCAAAGGAATCCTATCTCCATTCATTCATTCATTCATTTCAAACAAGTGCCACAATACTATTAATTCTTAACCGTTCATTTTATACTTAAGTACGATTAAAGATCATGATTGTTGTTCTTTTCTTCACCTTATTTTTTCCTCTTTTAATGCATTTTTTTTAATGTAACATCACTTAATCCATTATATAAAGATTGTAGTTATGGAAGTGCAGTGTATAAACATCGTCCTCATGCAACGATTAAGAATCAACACGAGAGTGTAAACCTCACTGGACAAACTATTTGCAACGAGGGACAAAATTGGTCACGAAAGTATTGTCCGTATAAATTAAGATATACATGGCAAATTACTGTCGCCCTCCTGAAGGTCAAATTAAGAACAACTTTATTTTGTTTCGATAATTACAACCGTTCCCTTCAAATATGTATTGTCTTACATGTCTACTCTTACAATATCAAATTTATATATCTACTGAAAGATGGGTTTTTTGTAAGACAATACATAATTGATGATAGTGGTTGTAATTGTCCAAATAAAAGGGATTTTTTTTCGTAATTTTACATTACATCCAGAAATTGGCCGTAATTTGCCCAGAAAAAAAAAGGTGAGGGAAAATGAAAGTTTTGTTGGTATGTGTAAATGCATGTTCTAGAATTTGTTAATTAAAACTCATGCATATGAGTGTGAGTGGAGGTTAGAGGTACTTGAGTGCAAGTTATATATATAAATATATATGGACAAACAAGTTCAAAGAGGCACCTATGAAAGTGGGAGTTTTTGTTTTATGTATTTTTATATTTTTCTTTATATATCTATATATATATATGTATATATATATATATATATATATATATATATATATACTTTAGACCTAATTAAAATTGGTAAGGAAATAGTCCACCACATTATTGAAATTGGATGCATGTGAACCTCCAATCTACCATTTGTTAAATCATGCAACATATAACCCCTCAAGTGTCCCATCAAATCAATCTGCGCCTTGTTTTTTTTTTTTTTTTTCAAAATAAAAATATTATACCACCTCAATTAA